GCTTCATTCCATTTCCTTGTGTCATATCGCTGGTCACCAGAAAGAGGTCAGCACCTGCCCCCCTCGAGGAAGGTGTAGGCTGCCACGAGGTCACCCCTCAGCCTTCTCTTCTCCCAGCTGAACAAACCAAGTGACCTCAGCTACTCTTTGAAGGTCCTGTCCTCGAGACTTTTCACCATCGTGGTTGCCCTCCTCTGGACACACTAATAATTTGTCCTTCTTGCACTGAGGTGCCCAAAACTGCACACAGCATTTGGGGTGAGGAACAGATTACTTTTGGAAAGTACAGCACCAGCTGTGCAGAACAGGTTACCAAGGCTCAGTATGATTACACCAAGTATGCTAGGAAGATTAGGGTGGGAAGTGGTAACAGGTCATGCAGCTTGTATAAAGTTTTGCTTGTATAAAGTAATTCTGATCTATTCTGCTAACATTTAGATATGTATAATGCTGATTATCCTGTAACCAGGGCTTTACTTATTTGAAATAAAGTGTTTAGTAACAGACCCAACCCTATATTCAACCACAAACTGAAAAAGCTGAAAAGGGAAACAATGTCAAAATTACAGAAGACTGTTGCTAATAACAAGGTATTCGGTCTTCCTTTTCTCCTTGCTTTCTCTAAAGTAGCAGCTTCAGGAAGCCTGTGAAGTTTGAGCCTATGTTTCTTCTTGTCTGAGTGAGCCTAGAGAAAAATTAAAAGGTTACTGACTTGCAGCTCTGTGCAGCACAGGTGTAAATCTGTGGTATTAGTGTAGTGAGTTATCCTTCAGGACAGGCTGAAGTTGGCAGTGCCTGGTTGCTAAATTGATTTGATAGAGATTTTTTTTTTCTTTTTTCCCCTGCTCTTTACCGTCTGTGTGTGCATTTAGTGAGAGAAGCAGTGACTGTGTATCTGGCTCATGAATTTTGAGTTGCAGTGGTTCAGAATTAAAAGGATAGTCAAAGCTTGAAGTTGTTTTTCCTTTTTTTTTTTAAATACCCCTGTATATGTGGGCTTTATTGAAATATTTAGATATATCCTCAAATGACCTTGGCCAAACATGCTGCGGTCTCTGTTTATTGTAAAGTGTTTGTCCAGGGATTGCCCCCTGTAGCACATGGGTAGAGCGGTATCTGCAGCACAGAAAAAGAATAGAAAAGAACAACTATTTGCTGTATCATTGCTGTGCTGCACTTGGCCTTGAGGCTACTTCTAAGGAAACAAACAGTTAAATTTTAACTCTACATCCTGTTGATCAACTGGGGTTTTTTTTCATATGGTTTGAAGCAGACAGATAGCAGAGGCAGCTAATCATTAACAGTTCCATCAACCTCCAAGCTTAACTTTGCTTCTGGGATTAGCTGGCACAGTCCCTAGCACCCAGTTATAATAGCAAAGGGGTTTGTTTGATGGTTTACTTTAAATTTGTTTCCCAAAGGAAACACGTTGTGCTTTTGGAAGGGCTGTCTTCTCCATCTTTGCCAAATCTGTACAATGTTGGACTTTTTCTTGCTGGATTATGTTGTCTAGGAGTGAGAATTGCATCCCTGTTCCCCACATTTTAAATTATGCTTTGTATTTATGTTTCGGCATAGGCCAAGCATACTTGAAGCTGGTCTGATTGTTTGCTAGTGCTTGTTAACCTGTGTTAACCCAAGCCAGTTTGCTATACTTAGCTCCTCTTCATCTTTGATGTTTAAAAGTAGGTTTTGTGCATGAAATCACAAACTAACTACTGTTTAGCTGTGTTGTTACCATATCAGAGCACTTACTCATAGCTACAGGTGCCAAGTGTGGCCAGAGCTTCGAGAACGGTATAGTTTGGTTGTTACCTGGCATATGTGGTTTGTCTCTCTTGGGAATCAACTGTTGTCTGGCTGGGTAGCTGTGCTGTCCTGCTAAAAACTGTGTTTTGCGTTTTTCTTCTTTTGGAAGTGAAAGACATTGCCTGTGACTATACAAGAAACTTTCACATCAACATCAAGCAAATAGATATAAATAAAAATACAAAAATGAGCAACTGTTATGTGCTTTGTTTTGCATAATGATCACATAACAATTAATAACATGCAGTCTTTATAGATCTAGAAAAAGTCATTTCATCTTGACAAAGCAAGATGCTGTCTAGTAGCTGATGGGCAGCATATTGCTCTGGGCAAAGCATGTGCTGGGAGCCTTTGCTTTGCATAGGGGCAAAATACTGCCTTGCTTTTCCAGTGTACCAGATGTGGTAAGAGTTGCAGTCTCATTTCCTTTGAACAGTGGATTAGTCTTGTGCACAGGCGTGCCTGCATGCTGTTCAAGACTTACATATGTGCCCTAAGTTCCTGGCCCTGTACTGTGATACAGATAATCTTCTCTTTGCTTGGTTTACATTACTGAAATCTGCAGAAAGACTTTACAAATCACTGTTCTATATTTAATTTTTGATAAGCTGTCTGATATAATTATTATATGCTCTTTTACTGTTTTAAGGTGTTTTTGTTTTTTTTTTTTGTTAACAAAAATTTGTTGTGAAATTACTTAAGGAATTTTCCAAAGGATGTATGGTATACAGCATCTGTTCCTGGAATTTCCTATCCTCTGCTCTAGTAATTTATAGAATTTTTGTTGTTCATTGCAGGGAGGAAAAGTCAGTTTTCATGGACTACCTGCTAGGAGAAGATACATCTTTTTGTACTGTGAAGGGCTTTGTTTTGTTTCGTTTATTTTTTTCTTTTGATATCAATGTTAAGAGAACTCTTAGTATAAAGATGCATTTTTGTCCATGCACTGAACAAGAAATTAATTTATTAGTAACAACAGATTCTGCTTGTGAGCATGAAGTAGAGGCATGGATTTATTTCCAGTGACATAGTAGTATTTTAGAATACCCTCTTAAAATATTGTAGTGTATGTCTTAAATGGATGTTCTCCTCAGCATCCTCTATTGCTATGTTGTTTAGGTGAGTCTAAATAAAGGAGGTTTTTTTCATCTGTGCAGTGCTTATGTATTACAAAATATGAAGAGCTGAGTATTATTAAAGGGTCCTGTAAGATCATTTGAGACCTGGTATTATCATTGAACAAAAGGGTTCAGGAAGAGAGATGATCTAAGAACATGTAGTACAGCACTCAGATAATGTTTCTTGGTGTTGCTGAAAGCAAATTAAAAGGCAGAACTAACATGTGTGTTTTAGTCTCTAAAAGGAAAAGAACACATAATAGCTGGAGTTGAAGAAATACGGGCAGTCTTGTTCTTAAGTCTTCGCTCTGTCATCTGTGAAGTTGGCTGCCAGAGCAAACGTGGGTGCAGTGGCTGATATCTGATACTGATGTAGTGGTAAATGCTTGATGTATAGGATTGTCTTATTTGGAAAGGTGCTTTTTATTCCTGACTTTGCGATTTTTTCAGAGCATCAGCATTTAGAACAATAAAGCTTGCTCCAAGGTTTTACTGAGATATTTAATTAACTTATTCCAAATAAGCTAATGCAGACATACGCATTTAATATCTTGCATTGCTCTGGAAAGTCACAGCCCTTATTCCTATTAAGATTCCATGCGTTTCCAAAGTAAAAGAACCTTTTGCATTGTTACAAGTTGTCTGTTATTTAGCTTTAAGCTGTGAAAACAGGTTTCCTTGATATCACTGCTTTTAGCTACTTCTCCACTTGTGTTCCCACTTGTAATCTGCAATGCCATGTATCAAAGCTGTTAAAGAGGATTTTATTTCTTTCTGTACTTACTCAGGAGAATTTAAGATTATTTGAGTGTGTGCGCCAGTTAATGGAAAAAAAAAGTTCAGTTGAAGGCATTTCATAGTGAATTCTGTACACTGAGTGCTGGCTTTCCTAGAAATGGTCATTTCCTGGATGATTACCTTGCATCGTCTTGCCTCATACAGAAGTAGGGTGAGATATAAACTAATGTTGTGCTTCATCTTTGCCTCTGCTTCACTAAACAAAACCTTGCTCATCACAATATCCATTTTAGATGAGGCCACTTCTAGAGACCTGTGCAAATGAGTACTGATGGACAAGGATTTTTCTTTCTTTCTGAACCTTGACTGTTTGTTTCTATGACATTCTTTCCAGGAGGAATTGATGCTTACAGACTGAGAATTATTTTCCTTAGTAGAAAAAATGGTGGCTTGGTAGGTTTTGTTCAGAGTCACTTAGTGTTTTTTGTCAGATACCATCTCCTGCAATGAGATCCTGAGGTTCTAGTAGGTACTTGAACCAGTAAATTCAATCCCTGAATCTTGAAATAGGCTTCCTAGAGGTGGGACTTCCTATGGCATCTAATGCTTGATTTGTACTTGCTCTTCTTCAGCTAGGGTCTAAGTGGTGGTTATATGGCATGTAGAAGCATGTGCCTGTTACGTGAAGCTTAGTCTGATCATTCACAGACTGCTGGACTGACCTTTCTTTGTCTCTTTAGGTATTTCCTAATAAAATGATGGAGCTCAGCATATTTTATATTCCTTTACTTGCATCTTTAAGGCTCTGTTTTATTCTTTTAGTAAAGCTGCTATAAACAGTATAACTGAAACTAGCCTCAGTGCTGAAATTAGTCCTTTTCTATGCAGACTCTGATATGCCCTGATGGCTTTGCTGAAAGAAATTACCGCACAGACTTCCCAAGCTTAGTCCCCTCTGGGGCTGTGGGCAAATTGCTTAGCTTGTCTGTCCTGGTTTCCCAGCTGTGGAGTTGAAGTAATTTATTAGTAGTGTCAGTCATAAGAACGTTGAGGTTTAATCTGCAAGGACTGTATCTGTCTAGTGTCTTTAGAGTGTCAAAGCAGTAATGTATAATTGTAATTTTATTATTAATATTGGTTATTTCATTAAAGTGTAATTTTCAAACAATGTTCATGTAGGTTAAACTCATTTTGTCAATAAACTGGCATCCTTCCAGCAGCATTAACTTGGTTCAGACTCTTTGTTTAATAGTGAAGCCTAAACGTGTAGATAGCTCTGTAAAGAAAACAGCAAATGCCTAAAGAAACCCGTACTTTCTTGTTTTTAATCTAGACTGTGGACATCCATAAAGAAAAGGTCGCTCGCAGAGAGATAGGCATTTTGACGACCAATAAGAACACATCGAGAACTCACAAAATTATAGCGCCAGCGAACATGGAACGTCCTGTAAGGTATATTCGCAAACCTATAGACTACACGGTGCTGGATGATGTTGGCCATGGCGTAAAGGTAAGAATACCTGGACACTTGAGGACTCAAGTAACACAGACCAGGAGATAGGATTGGGGCAGAATGTTACTGACATTGAAATGTTTAGTTCATTTATGGTAGGAAAGATCATGGGTTTGATATGCTCCCACGTACAAACATTTCAATAACAAAATGGATTGTTTTACAGTGGGGGTTTTTTGAGCAATGATTGCCACAACCTTGTGACTGTCAGTGGTAGTCACAGTGTCTGGAAACGATGGCTCATGATCTTTGGCTAATGACTTGTGAAAAAAAAGCCATGAATGACATCATCTGCTAAGGGGGAAACTGGCTGGTGGGGTGGGGTTTTTTGTCGGGTTTTTTTTTTGGAGGATGGTCAGGAGAAAGGAGATCAGCTAGTTGGCATTTAAAATCTTAGTGGCATTTGATGTCTCACTCCCATTTGTGCTTTTGGACAGTCTCATTTTATTTTTTCTCTTTTTTTTTAAAAAAAAAAAAAAAAAGAAGAAGCTTTCATAAATTGATGTCTACCTCCCTTGAAATGGTCATAGTTGAAGTGAATTAATGTAACACCCTGGACATCTTTTTTATTAAAAATAACTTTGTATCCCTCTAGAGCAGGCCTTCCAGGTATATTCTGTTCACAACAATCTTCCCTTGAATGGCATTAAAAAGCTTTTATTCAACACCCATGTATCCTCTAAAGCTTGATGTGCTCTGGTCAGTCAGTTGTGCAGCTAGATCAGCCTGTCATGTACCGTTTGAATCGCTGAGCTCTTGAGGAACAGATCTTTAAGAATTACTCACACAAAAGAGTGCCAGGGTACCTCCTGCTTCACAGTAACTCTCCAAATGCCCAGAGGAGCATTTCCGACACAAGTTAGAAAGCAGCTCTATACTGTGACAGCTCTAGGCTATGAATTAATGTAGTGACTTTGGACTACCTGATTTTTTTTTTCTTTGTAGCTAAACCTGTAACTCTTAGGGTTGTTTTACACTAATAATTTAAGCCAGACTGGATGAAGCACAGTTCTATGTAGAAGCCTGAACAATTTGCCCTGAATTGCTTTAAAATAGAAACAGTGGGGGCAGAGAAATTGGTAATTTTTCAGTACAGTCTCTGCATTGAGGAGAGAGCTTTATGAATAGAGAATACAGGTATCCACAAACTCATTGTCAGGATATTGGTTTCTGCATTTAAGTGCTCCAGGGATCAAGTGCTGTAGAAGGCTTTTTAAAAGTAGAATAATTACTGTTAGTCTCTGAAGTTCATGCTTTGCTGAACTACTTGTATTGTGTGGGCTCAAAGCAGGTTGCTTGATCCATAAACGCTAAAGTTGTTAACGTGTAGCAGTTGCGTTTTCCAATGTGACTATTTGCTTTTAGGAGTGCTGGTGTCTTTATTTTTATTAACGTGATCCTATTTGTTTTGGGGGTGGAAGTGAGGTGCTGTTTACCTATTTCTAGGCAGCTCTTAGGGGACATTTCTAGTTAAGGTGGGGTTTTTTTAACTCTTAGTGGTTTAATTCCGTATTAAAAACTTGGTCTCTTCAGAGGTAAAATAGCTTCCAGTAATAACCAAATTATCAATTCATTACAAGTCAGCTACAAATTGTATCTTGCTATTGTTTGTTTATTGAGTGATTTGCCTAAGTGTTTTATGACTGTGGAAGGCATGAAACACTTAGTAGAAAAATGATGTTGGTATTTTCTATCTAGACTTGTTACACAAATGAAATAAGCTGCCAGCCAGGCCTCAGGTATATAGTTCAAAACAGCTGTTGTGCATTTGACACCTTCACGGGTGTTGACATTCACTGGACACACTGGTGAGAAGAGTGGGCTGAGGCAGGGAATGACATAATTAAATGTTTTAGCCATTGTATTACTTGGGTTCCAAGAGTGACACTGATCGTACCTCTGAAGGAAGTAGCTTGCTTTGTCTGCAAGCAGCTATTGCTGTTACAAGAAAATCAACCAAAACAATCTTAGAAACTGGATCAGGTCCTTTTGGAAGTCAGCACAAATCACAGATGATGCTGCAAATCTGAGTTGCCTCTTGAATGTACAAATTATGGGGAAGCATACAATAAAATAAATTACAAACTTTGTCTTGTCTGGAGTGGTCTTAGAAGATGCTTCAGACTCTGCTAAGCCTTATTATCTTGACCAAAGATTTCACCCCATGTTGGCCAGCAATATATCTGATAAGGCCTTAGAACCCATGTTTTTCTAGAGGAAAAGAAGTTTGAGTTCTGCATAGAGCAGTTGTCAGTTTGACTAACTTGCAGGTCCTTGAATGTCTTCTGCTGTGACAACTGTTGATAAAATACAGTACAACACATACATTGTCATTTAAAATAAAAGTTACGTAACACTTTGAAATATGTGGATTTCAGTTTATTGCTGTTAATGGGACTCTGTTGTGTTCCGGTGTAGGATTTGGTGAAGAAACAGAAAGGAAAAATACAAGGAAGAGAAATCAAAGATACAGGATGGATTACAGCTTGTTTCTGCTTTTATTTCATGAAATACTGATCCCAGAAAAAAATTCATTAAAATAGGCAGTATATTTTAAGGGGTGCTCCTGAATTGTTTTATATAAAAAGTGTAAGTAAAAATACTGTGTCACAGAATTAAAAAATAGTAAATAGAAAGATAGGTAATCCTCAGAGTAAATACTGTCTTCCCTTGTCCATCTGCCGTCTGAGCAAATGTAGAAGCACCTCCTATGCATACTCACAGCTCATTTTCTTTGTGTGTGTCTTCTCGTGGCCGTGTAGAGGGGATGCAGAAGCAGATGCCTATGCTTGGGGCATGGAGAAGGGCCCTACATGCCCCCCTCTGTCTTGCAAGCAGTAATTTTTGTGGGGGCAGGTGATGAGGGTGGGGGGTGGCAGTTGACGGTAAGCAGCTGCTCTCTATAGCAGGTTTCCTCCCTGATGGAGCCACCTCCTTGGAAGGCAGTGCTGTTTCATCCTCCAGCAGCTTCTTGGTAGAAAAGCTTTTGTAGAGCATCCTAGGATCACAGAGGTGCTTTCTCCTTTGGTCTGAAGGCTCCATGGCAACCCTAAGCTGCCCCACTCCCTGCCCCTTCCCTTTGCAGGTGCAGATACAAACGAAGTCTCCAAAAGGAGTGAAGTTGCTTTTTTTTATATATGTGCCTATGAAGCAAAAGCTAGCATCGGTCAAAATCAGGAGCGCTTTTAAAGTTGGTTTGCTAGTGAGAAGACTTTCCCTTGCAACACAAATATTATGTGTAGGTGGCTCCAAGAAACACACAGACAAGCATTTTTGCCAGTCTGTTAAGTAGTTGCTCAGCTGTCACCCTCTGGGGATAGGGGAATGTAGCTGAAGTCATTCTTGGTAAATAAGAGTAACTGTTGTGATGTGAGAGTCTACCTTGCTGTGTAGATCTTGGTTTAAAATTATTAGGCCGAGGCTACTTCATCATTTCCTTCCTTCTCTTTCCCCTTCTTTTGTGAAAGGAGAAAGAAAAAGAAAAAAAAAAAGTAGTGTGCCAGCAAATAAATAGGTCAAATACAATTACTCATACAGAAAATCCTCAGTTTGAGGGGGGGAGAAGGAGGAGGAAGCTTGGAAGCTGCTGCAAAAGCCCTAAAGTTGGCCTTTGAATTTATTATAATCTCTTTTTCAAATAGGAGGCAGGTGAAATTGCAGCAATTTGTAAAATGGCAGCTAAGAAGGAAATTAAAATGATGCCTTATGGTAAAGGCAGATAAAATGTTGAATACATGCTAAATTGAAATGCCTAATAGCTGTAATTGGATCAAGTTTGTTTTATGGAACTAATAGTTCATCAAAACCAGATTTGAATTATATATAAAGATTGATCACATTTCAGCTTTGTTTTAAGAAAAAAATCAGAGTTTTGTCACTGTAAAACAGGTGCATTTCAGTGCATTAAAACTAAGAAGCTTTCTAGCCCAGGAAGTCAAACAGGAGTTAAGCATTCAGAAATCTTTCTCAAGCAAATGGAAGTTGGAAGGACTCCCTTAAAGTAGGGATTGGGCCAAAACTTACCGAATAATAAGATTAGAGAAGGGAGCCTTGCTCTCACCCTTGTTAGGCTTCTCAGCCTGCCCTACTCACCTGCAGTCCTCATGCTTACATCTGTGTTGGTACAAAACAAAAATGCAGATGAGGTGCTGATGTGAGGATAGAAGGCTGCCTAATCGTGCCTGCTTCCTGTATAGGATAAGACCTTTTATGTGTTAGCCCCTTGAGTATTAACTTTTAAATAATTCACTGTAATAAAAACAAAGTGAGACGGGGATCCTGAACCTGAGCCTCTGATGCCTTTGTCCCTGTATTAGCCTCTGTCAGACACTTATGCTTCAAAGGATGTCGTGTTGCCAATTTCATTAAAGTCACAACATCCCTCTGGGGTCATGGCCAAACTGTAAATATTGCTGTAGGGTAAAGAACGCTTCTCTGGGGGTGGGAAGTAACTCTTCTGTTGCCAACTTTAATGACTCTGTTTTGAGTGTTGATACTGTGCTTTTCATAGGGCACTTGCTACTGGAAATTCAGAAGTGTGTGTAGTGTCATCTGATGCAGTGTAAGTTTCAAGCCTTTCTGCTTGCAAAGAAAACTCAAAACTATGAGATCTTGTTATTTTATAATTTTGAAAAGAAACTCTTTTTATGTTAACCCTATTCTGTTGTAGCTAGATTCAAAGTTACCAACTCAAAGAATTCAAAAAGCTTGAAGGCAGGAATCTAGGTATCTTGATCTGAACGAGGCTACTGAGTACTGAGAGAACAATATTAAGTTTGTCTGTCATCCACAAGCAGGTTTTTGTATGTTAATAGCATCTTAATATGTAAAACCATTTTAAAATCAAATGTGACTTGAAAATTTTTGCCTGCTCAGTTTGGAAACTAAAAAAAAAAAAAAAAAGGAAGAAGAAATAAAGGAGAGAGGAGCAATACTGACAAGCTACATCTGGTTACTGTTAACAGAAGACTATGTAATTACTAGGTTGCAAATAATAC